AATCGCCGCAAGCCACGGCTCGAAGACCTTAAACCGAAAGCCACAAAGCCATACACCTCCGAATCTGCACAGCGAAGCCCTGCTCATGATTCCTTTTCCCAAAGCAGGGCCAGGAACCAACCTCGGTTCAGGGTTCAATGCCTGCACCACCTGAAACCCTGCCCTAACCAGTCTCAAGCTGGGTTTAGAAGAACCTTCCCTAGTCTTGACATCCTCGGCCAGGAACCTATAACCTAGCGGCAAGCTGAGGGCCTGGCTGGTATAACAGACCCGCCCTAAACCCCAGTCGAATAATTGAGGCCCCTTTCCATGTTTGGGAGTTTTGCACTTTGTAATGTTTGGGCATATGGTGTGGGCTTCTGGTGTGGGTTTAGGGCTTCGGGTTCAGAGTTGTGGAGGGGGGCGGGTTGGGAGCTCAGAGCCGAAGCCCATTCCCAAAGCTGGGCCTAGGCAGGTCGTGGCCACGGGCTTCTTGGAAGCACTCGACCAGAGCATGATGTTCCCATCCTCCCGGTCTAGGGTTAAGGGTTTAGGGTTTAGGGTCCGTTCTGGGGGTAAGCGTCTCCGGTCGTATTTCGGTCTAGGCTGGCTCATCAGGAAAGACAGGCTTGACGGTTTAGGGCCGTAGACTTAAGCGTTTCGGGCAGAGATTCAGCCTAGCCCGAAGCAACAAAGCCTGATCTAAGCGCGACCCACGCTGCGAGGACTCCACCGACGAACCCGACAACGAGACTCACTGCACAATGAAGCCTTATCGGATATCACCGCTGAACCCGAGTCTCGAAAGAAACCAGAGACCCTAAACCCTAAACCCTAAACCCTAAGCCCTAAGCCCTAAACCCTAAACCTTAACCGTGTCGTTGGGCCCAAGAGGTTTGCAAGTCTGCCCCCGAACAGCCTGGCCCAAGCAGGCTCTGGCCGAACTTCTACAGAAGTTAAAGCATTGGGGTTTCGGGCTCTTGCGGTTTAGGGCTTAGGGCTCTGGGTTTAGGGTTTAGGGTTGCGGTTTAGGGTTCAAGGTAAAATGACGGAGTTGACTGGCTGGTTAGCAGGAACCTCTCTGAATGACGTACAGCAACGCAAGGCACCTGCCCACCCGAAACGAACTGCTCAGCGTCCACTACGCTCACGGCGTCCACGGCATAAGTATGCCTGAACTTTTCAGGGTTTAGGGCCTCCTACATGCTGAACCCACACAAAAACTAGAGGCTCTGATAACCAAGGATAAGGCCCCAAAGGGATGTGTAGTGGACGTGTACACGCACACAGAACAACACAGGGAGGGGGGGCGTTTTCGGGCTTGAGATGCATCGAATCGAAGACCCTCAACCCCTAAACCCTAAGCCCTCCACCAAGCAGGTGCTCTTGTGTACCATGTGAAGGACTATCCTGTCACGGCCTTGCGTCCCTCACTCACATGGTGTGTGACGAGCGTTCGGACCATGGCGGAACAAAGGCCTGAAACAATTGGAAAATTGGAAAATTGCTTGCTCTTCTTTCTGATGTAGGCCCCACTACCCTAACAAAAGGCCCCAAACTGCCAGTTGTTAAAGCTCTCCGGGTTCAAGGATTTCGAGTTCTCCGCAAGCACCAACCCGAAGCCCTAAACCCTGAAGAAGCCGTGAAAACCCTAAACCCTAAACCCCAAAGCCTAAACCCTAAATCCTGAACCTAAACAAAAGGCTCAAGATGCCAAGCCTCGTAAACATGAGGTGTGTGCCTTTGTCTACCTGGCATGTGGGCTACAGGATTTTAGGATTTTCTTCCTCCGGCTGTAGTGTTCGGGGTACGTTGTTTTTTTTGTGTGCTTTTGCGGGCTCCTCGCCTAAGGTTGGGGTACGGTTTTAGGGTTTAGGGGTTATGCAACATTGTCTCCGAGTGGTTTGAATGGACATGGGAAAGGCTCTCGAGGCTGTTGCAAAAGTCCTCGAATATCGGTTCGTTGTGGCCAACAAGGACAGCATTTAGAACACCAAGATGTTTGGAAAAAGAGTTTAGGAATGAGTCCGACCACTGGCGCGGATGCTCTTTGCACAACTTAATCTGGAAAGCTTGTGATCTGTCGGACTGCTGCCTCTGCGAAAACAGTGGGCTTTTCGGTGTAGGGTTAGGGCTTTAGAGCGAAAGGCTTAGGGTTGGGCGTTAATATGCAATGGAACGGGCAGCACGTGGCATCCGCAGCCGGTTTAGTGTAACGAGCATGAGGTATTAGACCCGGTCCCCACGCAGTGAACTCTCAACCATAAATTCCTAACCCGACATCCCGAAATGCAAAGAACGAGAAGCCCTAAACCCTAGCCCAACCTAAACTCTGCATCCCAAACCCGAAATCACCATTGACCCGAAACCCCCCAAAAAACGTTAAAAAAACGCCGCAACTCCCTAAACCCTATAAGCCCTACTAACCCCGACTCCCTCCCTGCCGTCACTCTTTCCCATCTCGAAGCTGTGCCTTCCAAAATCGGACAGACTTGTCGGCGCCCCCCGAGAGTGGCTTGCCCCTGAAACCAGTAGTCTGGGATTTTGGGTTTTTTTGGGTTTATAGGGTTTAGGGTTTAGGGTACTTAGGGTATTTAGGGCCGAGGGCCGAGGGTTTAGGATTTAGGGTTTAAGGTTTAGGGTACCAGAGTAATCGTGATGGTAACGGTCGTCGTAATGGTAGTAGTAGTCATAGTAAATGTAGAAACGGCAATGAGGCAACAGTAGTGGCTTCACAACAAAAAGGCGAGGTTCTTGAACATGGACGTCTGGTGGTTGGGAGCCGAAACTGGTTTCAAGATTGTTGGGCATGAGCTGCCTCAATTCATCTCCTTTTTGGCATAGGATTCACGGCGTTGGGTTTCGGATTGCGGCTGAAACTCAATGGCCTGGGAGTGCCGAGGGGAGCGTCGAAGCAGAGCTGAGCACCGAGCTCCAAAGAATGACGGCTTAGTGTTTAGGGTTTAGGGGTTTAGGAGTTTGGTACCCTCGAAACCCAACTCCATCTCCGGAACTCTGAGCCTAAAAGGTGGAATGAAAGGGCCTTTAGATTCGGGTTGGAGGATTTTAGGCCTCAGACTTGGGGGGCTTGGCTTCTCGGGGCTTCGGGTTCAGAGCTTCAAGCCTTGCCCCGGCCCTAACTCCAGTTTGTAAGTCTTTCAGGGTGTTTAGGGTTTAGGGTTTACGGTATCCCCTACAAGTATCACCTCTGTAATCATCCCTACTTGCGGTACGAAATCAACAGCGGGTCCAACTGGAGCCGTGTTCAAAACGACATTCGGCTTTACGTGTATCTTCAAGGTCCCAGTGTCGATTATTCGGGCCTTCATGATTAGAACAGATTTTGGTTATATAATACTGTACGCCGTTAACAGATAATTACATTTCACATGAAGGCTTAGGTTTGGATTTCCAACTTACAATCAACCAGCCCTCGCCCCTCAAACTAAGCAGTGCTTTTATACGTGTTCATTCGGGTCTGTCATGTTCGGGTTCTGACACGGTCTTCTGGGGGCGAATGTGTGTCCATCAAGGCTTCATTCGGGTTGGAATTGCTTTGTCAGGATCTTAATCTTACTAAGCTTGCACGGAAACTCGCTGCACCCGAAGTCCTGGACTCCTGTACCGCCTGCCTTTTCTTATCAGGTTAGCACTCAGGGCTCAGAGGCTCACAGTTTACAGGCTCCGGCTTTACAGGCTCGGGGTTCAGAAGTCGTGTGGGAACCACTGAACTTGGGCTCGCGCTTGACGAGGAGGTCCAGCGAGGTCACTGCATCGACATGGCCCAGCAAGGTTTCCATACACCTGATCATGCTGCAGGACCAATGAAATGCGAACCCAGAGGTCCAACTGCGGAACCTTCGCGTCTTGAGGTCCCAGATCTTCAGGGACTTGTCCGCGGAGGCTGTGTAAAACTGCCAAGTGCCGAGATCTTGTGGCTTGGCATTCAGCATCTACGGGTTTGAGTTTATCTCAGGGTCCTTCGGTGCCCCTGTCTAGAGACACTCGATACGGGTTCTGGGCACGAGGGGTCGATGGACTCTCCGTAGCAAGCAGAAAATGTTCAAGTAAAGGCATGCAACAATAAGAGCACGTGCACTTACACACAACACTGAAGACCACCTCCCCTCAGGAAACCCACAATGCCAAACCGGCTTCTACTGTGAAAACCGATGAAACCCTAGGCGTTCTGTCCAATCGGGCTTCAAACTGGCCTCTCTGCGGGTTTGAGGGCTTGTCTTACGTTTGAGTCGCTGTTGCTTGGGGGGACGGGCAAGCTTTGCACTTCCCAGGACTCAGGGCTCCGCTCCAGTTCCGAGTTTTTGACATTGTGTGAAACAGCGTCTTAGACGAAGCCACAGCTGTTGCAGCATTTCCGAGCCCTACCTGTCGTTTTGCTGGGGAATTTGAGACTTCCAAATGCGTCCGCATGCACCACCTGCATGGTAGGACACTTTCCCAAAGATCCTGCCTACTTCTCAGCAGAGATACCCGGACACCCCAAGATCCCTCTGAGACTCTCAGGAAGAAATATACCTAAAGGATAGTTAATCGTAAACAGTGATGAAATGACAGAATAGAAACCAGAAATCAAGAAATCCCTAGTCAAACCAATTCTGATGTCAGTGACAGTAATGACAATCCCAAATAAGCAGAACAATCCACAATCTGTGCTTTTTCCGGCGAGGATACAAGAGCCTCTGAACTGTTGCGACCATACAGTGAATGCTGTCGGTGCTCCTGTATTTTCACGGCTCACCCAAACCCTGAACTTCTGATCTTGGGGTGGCACTGCTTCAGGCTAGAGGTGTATACAGGTTACCGCAAAGAGTTTGGAAAAGAGACATATCTAAAACCCCAGAAACACATTTTAGGCCCCCTCCAGACCCGCCATGGACAACTCCTCCGCCATCAACTCCTGATCCTACTGACCGCAAGGGCTGGGACGTCTAGAGAAACATCTCTGCAACATGGTCTTTGCTATTTCATCTGCGGCGTCGCCATCCGCTCTATGTCTTGCCCTACTTCGACGACGACAGCTCGGGACAATGATGAGCATGCTCGCAGCCACCGGTCCAGTCGACACGCAGAGGGCGCCCGTTGCTTGGATCGTCGTAGTCTTTGCAGAAGTCTCCCTGGACAGGCAACAACTTCAGCAGCATGAGCTACCTGAAAAAACTTCTTAACGACAGACCAGACAGACCAACCCCTGCTGAAGTATCCGAGCTTCTGTCATGAACTCGTTCACGACTTTGCACACTTTGCCGGCCGACGCAACACTCCCACCATAACAGCAGTGAATAATTGGTATGCTCTCACCCGTCGCGTTTGCAGCAGTCTCCTCCGGTCCACAGAGCTTGCGGTTCAGGGTTCAGGCTTTTGAGTTTAAGGTGAGCCATGGGGCATCATGTCGTATCTACCTCCCAACCAGCAACCCAAGGAACGCTCTCTTCAAGCAGCGCGCCTGGCTTGCAGAATCGGAGCGCATCGCGCCCGACGACAGGAATGCGCATGCGAGCGTTACCGTGACCAGGCGGGCCATGGTGCAAAGCAATGTATCTTCAGACGGCGAGTTTCTTTGAGGAACGGAAACGCTGCGGCCGCAGTCTAAGACTGCTCCGATTCGCGTGGCAGAGCATGTTGACAACTAGATCTGCAGGGAAGATTCAGCAAGAGGCTCTTGGGTTGGATTCCAAGTCACGTCTAGTTGCGGATGGGTCTGCATTCAATGCTGAGACTGACACCCCTAAACCCTAAACCCTGGACCCCGGCTTTTGGAAGCTCAGTCTACGGCTTTAGGGTTTAGGAGGTGGGGTCTTGTGCTTGGGGTTCCCTTCTATGTACATATGACGATTCAATTGTAGTAAACTGCAATATTCAGGCTCCTTCAAGGGACCATGCTTTCGCACAGTTGCTCCACATTGCGAAGATCCTGCTGAATCCGCAACGAACGGCCTGCTCTCCTCCTACATCGGCCACCACCGAGGTGGTCTCCTTCATGTGCCCATGCCTGCAGATTTCGGTTTAGGGTTTAGGGTTTAGGGTTTAGGGTTTAGGGTTTAGGGTTTAGGCTGAAGCATATGGGACGATATCATCCTGGTGTTGTGGCTATCGCGAGTCGAGGCCCTCTTGCCAGCCACCGGGTTGGAGTGGTACAACTACAGTTCTTGGATCCAACTTGAGTGACAACTACTCGCACGACTCCTCCTCATGATAATCTAAACCTGCAGAGATTCGAAATGAAGCCTGTGGAGGATGTTCGAAACACTGTCTGGCGATTCTTGTGAAAGAACGTACTTCAGGACCCTACTCCGAGCTTCGCACAGGGCGCCAACACAGCCTGGGCAACAGCTCCAAAGTAGTGCCAATTCGAAGCGGTCATGGCCATCATCAGCATACAGTATTGCAACTATCGTTAGCATCAACATGCATAGCTTCTTAATCCCCGTCACCTGTCAGCAAGATCATCATCTCAACACACCAAGACCGTGAGCATTCCCGTCACCACGGCCATCACCCTGACCATCGCCACCATCATCACCAGCAGCAGCAACACCATCGTCATGCGGGCCATTACGATTCAAACATAATGCTCATCAGCCTCATCGTCAGCGGCATCATCTGGCTCTTCTTCCCCAACACATGCTCGTGCCCGTCACCACCATCATCATCATCAGCAGCATCATCATCAGCATAACAATCATCACCGTCATCATCAGCAGCAGCATCACCATCAGCAACATCATCATTTTTGTCGTCAGCAATGGCAGCTGAAGCAGCGGAAACATGACCATGAACTGGATCAGGAACACCAAAGTCAGCACCACCACCGCCATCGTGATGGACGTAGCGAACACCGCCCACCACCATTGTTGTGGCTGTCGCTGGTCGTGATAATCATCAGCATCGTCGTCAGCTTTGCCAACATCCTGCGCAGCAGCGGTCGAATCATGATCGTCATCGTCATCAACACAAGCACCAGCGCCATCTCCGTCGGCATCATCATCGGCATCATCATCGGCAGCACTGGAACAGCAGACCAGCAGTACCAACATCACAGGTAGCTCAGCAGAAATGAGGCTGACAACCGCAAGGGCTGTACAGCAGCAACGACAACCGGAAGAAACAAGGAACAAGAGTTTGAAACAGAACAGAAAAAGCAGCAGCAGCAGCAGTGGCAGAGACCACAACAGCCGCAGCCGACGAGGCCACGGCATAAGCAGCGACGACACGGCAACGACAACGGTAACGGCAACAGCAAAAACGGTAACCCACCCATCTTGAAGCCAGGCCTTCAGACACTTCCCCTCCTGCAACCTCCTTTTCTTCGTGAACATAGATTGGAAAGGGCCCACTATTCTCGTTAGTCCTTCCACGCAGATTCTTCCTGCGATTCCGGCCACACTTATCCCCAAGTATGCCCGCTATCGCCAAGGCATAGCAGATTCTTTCACTTCTCCCATTTGCAACTCAGTGCGACCGCTGTCGCTGGTTCCAGTGCCAGCTATCAGACATGATGATGGCAACCAGCCCGAATTTTTTTAACGCCCTCACGCCGCGAGGCTCAAACTGCCTCAGCTTCCAGGGAGTCACGGATCCTTGCACCTGATTGAAGGACTTAGTTCATGAACCCTGGCCCTAAACGCTGACTGGTGCTCTCTTGAGTGTTAAGAAACTGGGCTCACTGACTACCCCTGGAGCAAGCCCCAGCTGTCAGAGGCTTGCAACCCTTCCGCGATGACACCTCACTGAGTTCGGATTTAGGGTTTAGGGTTGAACCTCTGCAAGCATCCTGCTTTTCGGCACATTGATCTATTTGAGTGCTCTTCAGTGTTCTCGCGTCATATGACCATTGCTGCTCCTGCAAGCCTACTGCCTACTCCTATCCATCTCCCTGTTCCACCATTACCAGTACTGCTAGTGCTACCATCACTGCCACCACTGCCACGGCGATTACTACTACTTCTACTACCACCAACAACACTACTGCTGCTACTGCTACTGCTACTGCTGCTGCTGCTGCTGCTGCTTCTTCTACCACTACTACTACT